GAATGCATGGACTGATGCTTGCAGAGGTGTACCTGTTAGCAACAGAACTGTCTCTGTAAAAACAAATCCCACATTCAGCTTTATTTGGAACACGTTGCCAGAGTTACTGTTGCAGCAGCAGCAGCCTAGGTAAATATCAAATGTAGTCTGAAAACCTCTCCATTATACCAGCTGTTCACATTAATGGATTGCCAAGAAAAGCCAACTTCACTGTGGCTAAATATTCCCACAAAAGCCCTCTTGACTGTTGTGCTATGTTTATTTCTGCAACATGTGCACATTTTAAAATCAAACATCTGCTATTCATGAATGACAAAAACAACTCATGCCTCATTGAAGTCTCAATATGCAAAATATCCATCCATCTGTCCGTCCATCCATCCATCCATCCATCCATCCATCCATCCATCCATCCATCCATCCATCCATCCATCCAACCATCCATCCRTCCRTCCATCCATCCATCCGTCCATCCATCCATCCATCCATCCATCCATCCATCCATCCATCCATCCATCCATCCATCCATCCANCCATCCATCCATCCATCCATCCATCCATCCATCCATCCATCCATCCATCCATCCATTATCTACTGCTTATTCCAAGTTGAGTCATGGGAACAGCTATCTGGGTAAAAACCAGACCCTTGTCCTTCACTTTGCTACGTACGAGGGTCTGGACTTGCTGCTATAGAGAAGCGATTCTTGCTGGAGGCGTGGCCTCTGCTGAAGTGTGTGTGTATGTTGCTGTGAAGGAGGCTAAGCTAAGAAGCTAACCGGAAATGGTGTGCGCTTTAAACAACCCCATTGAGAGAAGAAAAGTACMGAGCCAAATGAAACGACTGTAAATGAGAGCTGCTGCTTTGTCAGACAAATTTAATTTGGAAGCCTTATCAACACGGACTGGCTTCATTCACTTCCTCCACTGTCACTGCTAAAATAACTAGCTGACAGCGTGCAGAAAATCGACATTGTTCAAAACTCTGCCTTCTGTTTGCTGATTGGCCCAGGTAWAATAAACTACAAGCAGACACTGCACAGAAAATTGACGTTCTGTTCTCTGATTGGTTCGGCTAAAAATCTGCCAGTGAAATCCTTGTCTATGAGAGAAGTCCCAGATGGAGCAGTGAAGGGAAACTAGAATTGAGCGGAGCTGCGTAGGAAGGCAAGGGCCAGGCTAGGGAACAGCAGCTTGAACAGGGAAGTCTGGACCTCTCTTTCCTCAGCCACCTCTTCTAGCTCTTCTGGGAGAACTCCAAGGCTCTCCCAGGCCAGTTGAGTGACATAGTCTCTCCAGCATGTCCTAGGTCTTCCTCTGGGTCTCCTCTAAGTCGGACATACTTGAAGCACCTCCCCAGGGAGGTGCCCAGGAGGCATCCTTACCAGATGTCCAAACCACCTCAACTTTCTCCTCTCCATGTGGAGGAGCAGCAGCTCTACCCTGAGTCTCTCCCAGAGAACTGAACTTCTCACCCTATCTCTAAGGGAGAGTCTAGCTACCGCTTGTGTCCACAATTTCTTTCTTTCGATCGCTACTCAAASTTCGTGGCCATAGGTGAGGGTAGGAATGTAGACCGGCTGGTAAACAGAGAGCTTTGCCTTACAGCTCAGCACCCTCTTCACCACAACAGCCCTGTACAGAGTCCCCAAAACTGCGGAAGCTGCACCGATCTGTCTATCAATCTCACACTCCATTCTTCCCTCACTCGTGAACAAAATTCTAAGGTACTCCAGTTTCCCCCACCCCCCATAGCATGTACAATAGGTTGCCTTCAGGCCCAGGCCTCCCTTGAAAAAGAGATCTGAGATCTCAATGGGACTTGCCTGGTTAAATAACGGTAAATAAATAAATAATGCTTGAATGCCTCCACTTGAGGCAGAACCTCACCCCCAATCTGGAGAGAGCAAGCCACTCTTTTCTGACTGAGGACTATGGACTCAGGTTTGGAGGCGTTGATCCTCATCCCAGCTGCATCACACTCAGCTGCGAGCTGCTCCAGTGAGAGCTGAAGATCATGATACAATGATGCCAACAGGACCACTTCATCTGCCAAGAACAGTGATGGTTTTACCACCAATCTGACTCTTCTCCAGTACACATGAATAGACCTCACTGGAGAGGCTAAGAAGAGTGATGCTCCCGTAACTGGAACACACCCTCCAGTCCTCCTAGTTGAAGAAGGGTACCACCACCACCCCAGTCTGCTAATCCAGTGGCACTCCCTCCGATGTCCACACAATGTTGCAAAGACGTGTCGTTTAAGACCACCACATCCAGAGCCTTATGGAAATCAGGGTAGATCTCGTCCCCCCACTGGAGCCCCAGGAATAAAAGTTTTTTTAGCAGATTTTTTTCAACTACCTCGGGGACTTCAGCCCTGTTTCTGAACAGGCTGAGCCCGAAAACCCCAGACTCTGCTTCCTTCATGGACAACAGGCCGGTGAGATTGAGAAAGTCAGAATAATATTCTTTTCACCTACTGACGACATCACTGGTTGTGGTCAACTGCACTCCACCTTCACTGAGCACAGTACTAGTGARTTTTGGCTTTCCCCGCTTTGAAGCTTTGATGGTTTCATAGAATATTTCTGGATTCAATCGAGAGTCTTTGTCCAAGACATGACCAAGCTTTTGCCTCAGCCACACCTTGTGCTGGGGCCTGCTTGGCCTGCCATCACAACTAAGCTGCTTACAAAGTCCTACCTTCCTCAACAATTGAGGTGTAGAACATGGTCCACTCTGACTCAATATCCCCCACCTCTGCTGGGATGCAGTTAAAGATCTTTTTTTAGGGTTCTTCTGTCAAGTGTTCCCAGAAAAATATCATTTAAAAAAACAAACTGGCAGGATCAAACATGTCGTCACCAAACATCATTCAGAAGTTCATTGAGAAAATAACCTAATATAACAGTATCTTAAAATAACAGTAAACTATCTGAATGTAAACTCTAAACTGAAATAAATCTTAGTTTATGTTTATGTTTATGGGCCATGGTAACTTGTTGATAGGTTCTGCAGTCTTATAATTCTGTGGCTGTAGGTTTGAGCCCAGGTTAAGTCAGGAAATGAAATCCAGGAGAAAACAACTGGCAAATCTTTTGTACAGGTTTGTTTGACATGGTGACCCTTGCAGAAGGAAGCAGCCAAAATAATAAAAAATAAATAAATAAATAAATAAATAAATTAATTAATAAATGGAAGAATATGATTTATAGGGCATTTACCTTTCAATGGAACCCTCAGTAAAGTATATGTGTTGAAGCATTTAGAAATTACAGTTGGCATAGATAGCTGGATTATATTAGGTCTCAAATATTCATTTTTGATGCTACTGTTACCAAATTTGATCTGATTATTGAGTTCAAATTTGATATACAAGTGCTTTGTTTAGTGTGTACTAACACACTGCACACAATTTGTATTTAAAACTTTGTTGAACAAGGTAGCTGATGATATATAGTCCTGAATTGTGTGTTTTATTTAAATTCTTTTAGTTCTATTTAATGGATCTTTATAATCATCACAGACAGCTGGAAATCTGAAAATAACTATTTTGTGGGAAAATGTGTTGGATTCAGTTGGTTTAGTTTGAATATTTTAGTATCCTTTCATTTTATATTTGTATCAACATTGGAAGGTATTTCTGAAAATAATAAGTGTTAACATTTTTAATTAAAATTTTATATGAATCAGTGTTTGTA